ATTAAAACATGTTTGTAACTCGGACAAAATTGTAAATTCTTCAGATTTAAACTTCTTAGTTTCACTTTCATATTCCTAGCTGAGATTCATAGAAAAGACACCAGGACACAGTATATTTTCATTTGCCTCCAAACTAAGAAGGCTGCCCGTTGAATACAGAGGTGCTTGTGTGTTAGAAAGGTAAAACTTGTTTTTACATAATTTCTGAAATATGCAACTTCTTTTGTTTATTTTTCTTTCTCTTGCTCTACATGCCTTTTGGAGCTGGCATAAGAAGGCAGGAGGTGTACTTTCACAGTCTCTCTCCATGCAGCAAAATGTGCCAGGGTACTCTGAGCAAGAGTTACACACAGAGCTATACATAATCATCCTGCCACACACTTCTATATAGACGTTAAGTGCTGGACCATTTTTAATGTGCTGTAGAAATCTCATGTGACTTGCTCAAGGTCACTGCAGGCCAGAAGCTATCAGGAATCAAAGCAGTGAACCTTGCCTGTTCTAGAAGACCAAACTGCAACCCCCAGAATGTGGACATGAGCTCAGTTTCCCTTCCCAAACCCCCTCAAGAGTTCTAGAGTGGGCACTCTGATTATTCACAATAACCTTTTCTCACCCTCTGCTGCTAATTGTCCTACTGTTATCTAACAAGTATATTAATATCAACAACCCATTAATATCAGGTAGCAGAAGAGTTGTCTTCCATAGCATCTCTCAAACTCTCATAGATTAAAAAACGCCAAAAAATACTGCTAGTACAAACTTCTGAAAATAAACTGGGCTTGGCACATCAGGAATTACCGATGAATGAAGTTCCTTTTTTCTTTTTTTGAGGGGAATGAACACTTGAAGTCTATTTTAATTTTAATGGAAACGTTTTTTGTCAGCCTGCCAATTCAGAATACTTTAGCAAAACAAGCCTAAAAATAGTGAAGGTGTAGTACAGCAAAGAAACTGTGAAAGCACAGAGTGAGCTAAAGCTAAATACCATATTACGGACCTAGTTGAGCACTATATATAAATATATGTCTAAAAATAAATACGAGCCAAAAGCTCAGTGGTTGTTGGACATGGTTAGATAAACAGCTGACTGTATTTCAGGTAAATCTAGATCTAAATATTAGCCTTGTCAAGAAGTGGCTTTAACTTTGAAAAATATCTCTTTCTGGCTTTAAATTGTTAAAAACCCAGTCTGCCTAGAGTTTGGAAGGGGTAAGTTGTGTCAGGAAGACAAACCTGTAAATATCCAGCTGAACTTCTACCATGAGGCCTCAAAATTAGATACACTTAAAAATAATTGAGAAGATGATTTTACTTCAGAAGATAAGATTAACTAAATCTAAGCTCCTGAAGGTTTGTAGCAGTGAATGCTTAAGGCTTAAGATATTGGTTTAGTGCTCATAGTAAATACAGTAAAATATTATGCACTTTGGGACACTTTCGTGACAGATGGCTGCTCACTTCTATTAAGTTTCACAGAATGTGAAGTTTAGCTTTGAGGGTTTTTATGAAGAATGCTCTCTTTATTCTCTAGTGCTGAAAAGAATCACATATTTTTCTCTAGCTTTTAAATCACTATTTTTAAAATAAGCAAAGAAGATGGAGCTTATAGGAATGGTCAGCTCATCCCTGTGAAATCCAGATCAAGGATGTTTTCAGACACTGCCTGTTGATTTAAGTTGGTTTTATGTGGCAGGAGAAAACTGTACCACACAAAGTTTATCAAGGTTACAGTTAGCAAAGTTCAATCTTTATTTAAATTTAGGACAAAAGTATTTAGGCCGCATTATTTTGTGAGAATGTTTCTGTAGTTTAGGAAGGTGGACTCCATAAGGAAAATAAGGAAGTCTGTAAATCAAAAAATCTGAAGTACATTACTGTAGATTTTTAAAGGTCTTTCTCCTTCCTCGGGACGATTTGAAGCCTAGAGCAGGTGGACTGTAGGAGGGCTCAGTTTTGTCACTTGCTAACTGAAGGCAAAGTGGAAGAATGTGCTGTAAATGCAGTGTAGCTAGTGCGCACTGTGCAGCAGGACCTTTAGGAGATACCAAGAAGAGAGAATGTGAATTTATTGTCTGGAAGTTAATGTCTTTGAAATTTACAGTGTCAATTTAAGTCTCATAATATCCTTTCTGGTCTGTACAGTAAATACTGTTCATTTTGTATATGAGAATACTTGTTGGAGGTTTGTTTTGACACTTAGAACTGAAACTGAACTTTTAACCTTTCTGAAAGAATAAACTTAACCTTTCATGAATTGCAGCATATAGAGAGATAAGGCAATAACTGCCTAACCTCTTCAGCTAATTCTCTCTCTATATAGCCTTTCTCTTCCTTATTGCTTCTATAGATTGCAGGAAATAAATTCCTATTTATTGCTGCTGTATCTCTACTGACTCCTGTTTTCTTACATAATTTCAAATAAGCTCAAATAGTAGAAGGTAGGCCAAGATGAGAATGAATAAGTTTGAGTCCTGAAATTCTCAGAAACTAAAGGGGTCTGTGTTTTGGGAAGTCTCTTGAAATTTGGGAGAAGATGGCTGAAGCAGTGCATGACTATAATAACTACATTAAAAAAAAACTGTTCAAATTGAAACATTTGATGTTCTGCACAGTCTTTCATTAAGTTTTTAGAAAATTATTTCCCTGAGTGTGCACAGATTTCTGCCCCGCCCCCACCCTGTGGAAAAGTGAGAAGTCAGATTTAAGATAAGGTTCAGACCTGAAGACAAGTATGTCTCCAGATTTTGGATACTTAGTAAGCTGACAGTATTTAAACCACAGCTTGGAAGCAGATATGAAATTTTTTTTCTTAAGCCTACAGTCGCATTGGTAAAGGCAAGCTGAAAACCTCACAGCTTTTATTCAATAACATCTGCAACTTGAAAGGGATCCAGTTCTGGGAATCTGTGTAATCGTGATGTAAGATTAAAATTTTGGTTTTGAAGTATGCTTCCAAAGGGAAGGGAAAATAACTTGGCTGTGAGGTCACGGAGTTTTTGGGTTGGGTTTTTTTTGTGTGTGTGTGTGTCCAAGCTGGTGAAAAGTGAATATCAGAAGTTACTAGCACTGTTTTGCATGCAGATGGCATCAATATTAGCTGTCTTCTAAAAGTTTGAATCTGCTAGTACTGAGAAGTTGTACTTCATCTCTTACTTGTCTTACGCCATTTTAAGTACTATTAATCGTAGAGTCATAGAATGGTTTGGGTTGGAAGGGACCGTAAAGATCATCTAGTTCCAACCCCCTTGCCATGGGCAGGGACCCCTTCCACTAGACCAGGTTGCTCAAAGCATCATCCAGCCTGGCCTTGAACACTTCCAGGGATGGGGCATCCACAGCTTCTCTGGGCAACCTGTTCCAGTGCTTCACCACCCTCTCTGTGAAGAATTTCTTCCTGATATTGACTCTAAACCTTCCCACTTGCAATTTAAACCCGTTACCCCTTGCCCTGTTACTACAGGCCCTTGTAAAAAGTCCCCCCCCAGCTTCCTTGTAGCCCCTTCAGGTACTGGAAGGCTGCAATAAGGTCTCCCTGGAGCCTTCTCTTCTCCAGGCTGAACAAGCCCAACTCTCTCAGCCTTTCACAATACTTGTCAGCAGAAAAAGTTTATAAAGCTTTTTTTTTTTTTTGAAAGATTTCAGATAATAACCTGTTTCAAAGTTTTATGCAGTTGTATATACATTGTAAAACCAAGACCCCAGTAATTTACTCAGTGAGGGTTCTGATTAAATCCTTATTTGCATTGTAGATGAACACAAACCAGTTAAACCTTTTTTTAAAGTTGAAAATTACTGTGTACCTTTACTGCTATGCTGTTTGGGCTATTTGATGGAATAAGGTGAAGAATCAAATTACTTTCTTCCAGAAAAAGGGGGGAGGCAGGGGGAAGCTATCAGCCAAGCTGATTGATTCCTTCCAATTCAGCCTCTAGCATCCCTGCAGCTTATGTTCTGCCTCTTCCTGGTAGTTTTCACCAAGACCAAATTCTTTAGTCAGAAATACTTTGCATTCAGGATGAGTAAGGGGACTGGCCAAAACTGGGGTTCTTGGTCTGTGATGTGACTGGATTAGGTGACTTCTTGTTGAGGTTCTGGCGGCCCTCCTTCCTGAGAGGTCCTTACTCCTAGCTGCTGTTTCCTGAATGGAGGCATCATTATACAGATATGTCTCTTGTCTGAGGCAGGAAGTGTCATCAAGTGTATGTCTGTTTTCTGCTCGGGAGGAACTTTGTGGTTTGACTGACCAGGAAAACTGTATTCCTGATCTGTAAATCTTTGGAAGTAGTTTATAAAGACATTTGTGATAACCGCAGTTGGAAGGACTTGCATTAATCTGAGGTTATTAAACTTTTATAAGCATTGGATCTGCTGCTTTTCCTCACCTGAGGAAAAGTCTTCCAGTGAAGAAGACTTTATTGAAAACACCTATGTCATCCATTTGCACTTGAGCTCGTTTTGTTGTTTGATGCAGCTCAGTGTGTGATAATTATCATTATACAGCAAAAAGTCACCAAAATAAAAACTGTATTAAAAGATCTAACTTTACCTTTGCGTAGAGAGTATAGTCAGGGTTTTCCTTGAAGTTTTGAAATTTTGTTTCTTGCCACAGATGTGAACTAGCACTGCTGAAGAGGAACTGCCAGATATAAAAAAAATACAAATTGCAGTAGCAAATTTAGGAGTTTCAGCTTCTTTAAATAGCTGAAGATGTATCTGTACTTGGATAGAACTCAGTCAAACCAAAACTCTGACTACTCTGAGGTCAAGTAATCTCATAATGTGTGGATGCTAGATTACATTACATAAATATCTTTCATATTACAAGTATCTAGGTGACTTAGCAAATCTGTTCTGGGAAGTATTTCTGAAATATGTAGTTTCACTGATGTTCTGGTGCTTCAGATCCAGTAAGATGATAACTATGAAATTAATAACTTATTAATATTGCTCAGTGTTGAATCTTATTGCTAATGTGTGCGTGCTTTTAATTATTTTAGGAAATCTATCAGTGGTGTGGCTCATCATGCAATAAATACGAGCGGCTGAAGGCTACTCAAGTTGCTGTTGGCATTCGGGACAATGAAAGGAATGGAAGGTCTAAATTAATAACCGTGGAAGAAGGGAGTGAACCACACGAGCTCATAGAGGTATTGTAATATTGTACCAGTTACTGACATAGCTGTGAATAAAATGTTTTAACACCTCAGGAACAAGGATTGGGCTCAAACCTTCTGTTCTTCAAGGACTCCAGAAGTCAGATTTAGCTTATGGTAGGCCACTTCATACTTGTTTTCTCTCCTTATCCAAGCAGTGGTAAGTTTGTTGGGCAATAGAATCTGAGGTAGTTAATCGTCTGAATACTTTTTCAAGAATTAAATGTTTGCTTTTCTGAATTAGCGGTAGGGTGACTGAATTAACAGCAAATCTCATACCTGAACCACACTATCTGCTCCATATGGGGAGGGAGCAGGATCAAGGTGGGACACTACCAAATGAGGAAAGACTTGGAATTAGTGTATCTAGAATGTCAACAAATGCAGCAAATTGCATGGAGATGCACGGGGCTAAGCACATTGCTTTGCATAACTGCTTCTATTATAAACTCTTATGCATCTAGCCTCTAGTAACCCTGCTGAGCCCCTTCCTTTTATGTTTAGAAAGTTTGTTTACTTAGAAAATAGAATTTAGATTTCATAACTGAGTTGATCGAAGTAGATTCCAAAAAAAAAAAATCAAAACCAACAACCCCAATTTATGGAGTTTTCAGATCTTGAAAACATCAACAACCACTGATATGTCGTTGCAGACCACATACTAATAAAAGCATTGTCACTTGTGCATTTGTACGCTAAATTAAGCTTTTTCCATTCATTCTCTTAAAAGAAGGAAGAGGGAAGCAGGGTTATAAAGCAGTCTGTCAATAAAATGGAAAACGTACAGTTAGAATATTGTACTTCAGGTCACCTTCAGGAAGTAATGCTAATGGTGCATGGAGGTATACCATTGTTTTTGATGGTGCTTACATTTGGTTTTGTTCCATGGACTGTAACTAGTTATTGCCTAAGCAGCAAAACATGCCACGTGCTGGGCCACTAGCCCTGGGTCATGCTAACTGTGGTGACCCCCTTGGATGATCTGTCCATCTGCTTGCAAAGACGTTTTGCCTGTGGATGTGAGTGCCAGAGGTGTAGCTGTGCTCAGGAGAGGGGAGGTGGCATCCAGTGCACCAGAGATTTTTGAAGGAAAAGAAAACTAATCCTGTATCTCACTTCTTACTTCCTTATGGAGACTTCTCACACCAGCTCTGATATGGCATGTTTTACACACACAAATTTTATGAGATGAGCACAGGTTGACTATTAGAGCCCAACCTTCTACTCCTTATTCAAATCGGGGTACTGGGTTGCAGCCCACTGTGGGCTGTGGCTGGGTGACACTGCAGGAACCTGTTGGCATGGTGCCCTGGCAGCCAAGCCCATCCCAGGGCTACCGCTCAGAGTTCTGCACAGGGCTTTGGCTAAGCTCACGTGTGAGTTTGGAGCACTGTACAGCTGCACTTTGCACCCCTTATCCGATTAAGGTTCAGATGCAAGGTCAGACTCCGGTGCTGCTGCAGCAAGGACGCAGGCCCAGGGCAGGGATGGCTGGCTGCCCCTCCCCCTGGTAGGCTGTGAGCTGCAGGGATATGCTGGCCTCACCACTGCAGCTGTGTGCCAGACTTTTCAGCAACTGTTGTTTTGTAGCAACCTTGACACATGATTAAGAGCAGGGAAATGGCCAAGGTTGCGTTTGGAACCTGTAGTGCATTGTTATTGCATCAGGGGATAAATCTTTTCTTTACTTGCTCAGCAGAGTATGAAGAAGTTCTGGCTTTTCCTTTTAGATTGTGAATATAGAGGGAAACCAAATCGGTAGTTCAGTGCAAGTAGGTTAATGGCTTTTATTGCCACCATAGTAATAAGCCTGATTCAAGTGAGTTTGTTGGCAGCCAGGGCTTATCTTCTAGCCTGCATCATGTGGGTTAGCCTTCCTTTTGGAATTTCTGCTCACATAATGGAGTTTGCAGCTCAGCCCTCGACATCACAGTTCAAGCTCTAAAATGTGCTGCTAATAAGCCAGGAGAGTAGTTAACCTCACAAACGTACAAAAACTATTAATCATTAATCCTTATTCCTATTCAAATGGTAACCAGTTCCTGGTGTTCTTCATTTTGATTTCTCCTTTCTCCCACAAAATTGTCTCTAATTTGCCCAGGTTGACTGCTCTAAAACTAGCATTATGCTTGTTTGTTCCCTCCGCATCAGGAGGGATGGATTTTTGCCATCTCCAGCTTTCTTAAAAAAAGATTGATTTTTTTTTTTATAGGGAATAGAATTATGTACTTTAAATATTAATTTTGTCATCTAGCATGCAGCTAAAATCAGAATGATATTTCCTAAAATTATCTCCTTTGATAAATATCAAGAATGATTCCCCCTCCCATGAGCTGGAAATTTGCCTCTGGAAAAGTGTTCACTAGGCAGCGGTTGACCTGCTAGAAGCTACGGTGAGGAAAATGAACTCTATCCCAAATAAAACCAGTACGCCTTGCCAGACGTCTTCCCTGGCAGCAGTGCCTGTGCTGGGCTAGTGTTTCCTGCCTGCCCGTTTTCCTGTTGAGAGCTGTGGGTGAGGTGAACTAGCCTGACAGGGGCAGTTGCCTGCTCCCAACTGCCATTTTTAGCAATGACCTGGGAACAGGCTGGTACTGCTTGAAAAATTTGCCCATGGGAGAGAGCTGTCTGGAGCATGCTGTAGGTCTGGATGAGTTGCTGTGGCAGGCCAGTATGATGCAGCTTGCTTGCCCTAGGAAAGGAGAGTGGCTAGAAGCTGGGTACATGAGTAGTTTTGACAGCAGCAAGCCCTTTTTTCATCTTTCTAATGACCAGAGGCCACTTGGGAACACACAGCGACTGTCCTATGCATGTACTCACAGAACACAGTGTGTCTGGAAAGCTCAGACCTGCAGTGGGTACACAAAAGGTCTCAAGGTGCTGCAGGAATCCCTATAACTCTTTGACTGCAAAAATGAGGCAGAAACTTTCTATGTGAGCACATCAAAGGTATTTCATCTACCTAGTTTCATCTCCATGTTTGCACTTTAGGTGAGGTACTGACTGACAGGTTTAAATAAGCAGCGTTACATAAGGTTGCTGCCTTGGGAATTTAAAAAATAAACTGACTACCTTGGACAAATTACTGCTGTTACTGCTCAGTAATGGTGACTGGTCTTCACAGTCACAGCTGCCCATAGTAAAATCCACCAGATGCCAATGCTGCTCTGATTTTCTCGCGTAAACAGCAAAACGGACTTACTCATTCTGCTGAATCTTAGGCTGAACGTTCAAAGACTGTAACAGGAAATTTTTCGTGTGCATGGGTTCAATCAAAAAATAGGTCTTAGCAATGCTAGAGCAACTGTGTTAAGGTTAGATCTACCTTTTTTTTTTTTTCTCCTTTAATCCAAAGGAACACAAAATATATGGTTTCAAAGCTAATCTGGGACCAGAATCTTCCAGGGTCAGTTGCTAGCCCTGTCGGAAACTCCCATGGGCTGACTGCACTGACACTGAATCTTGTCCTCACTGCTTGCAGTGGCAAGCAGAGATCTCACAGTATTGCATGTGTATACCCAGTCGATCACCCAGACCTGTAGCAAACAGCCACGGCAACAGGTAGCCATGCTCAGGACAGACAGTTTTCTAACTGTAATGGGAATATCTGATCTAATTCAGAAGAGAGGACAAAACTGAGAGCGCTACATTTTAAAAATAGTTTCCCATGATCTCACTATTTCGAATCACATTTAGAATCACATTTAGAATATTATTCCCCCTATTTAGCATTATGGAAAAAGGTGAGTGGGATGAGTGAATGACTGAGGTACCCTGTTTCCTTTCTCCAGTGAAATTATTGTCCAGTGTTTGGCTAGTGAATGTGTGAGCTGTGCCTCTGCTTTCGGAGTGTTGGCAAATTAGAGAAACCAAGGAATCGGAATTGTCTGGTTTGTGAAGTTTTCTAGTCGGTCAGCAAACTGAAGTTGCTTCCACTAATGCAGGAAACACAGAAATTCAGTTCTGAGTCACCCAAGGGACGGATAGAACGCATCCAGTACTCGTGTGTAGCACACCAGCACCTTGATCTAGTATTGTATCTCTAGAGATGATATAGAAGAAAAAGTTTTCATGTATTTGTTTTACTATATTGGTGTAACTCTAAATATTAGACACCCTAAAATTTTTTTAGAGTGACAGTACTGTTCAGACTGCATAGTCTCATTTCCCTGTGACAGACTTGAAGAATCTCAGGCAGCTGTGATGGTCTGCAGGGTATAAGAGCCAATGAGAGAATAAGATAGTCTGAGTTTTAACTAAAGTAAGTATTCAGCCTGCATCTGTCTCTTCTACTTAATTACGAAGTGTTCAGCTAGCACATTTCAGGATGGTTCTTGTTTTCTACGCAGTCAAAACTGTCTGATTCTTAATACTATTTTATTATTTCCCTGGAAATGACTACTTAAAAACTTCAGCTCTTGGTAGCCTGGGATTGCTGTGGTTCTTACTGCTGAGGCTTTTGGCTTTTCTTTAATTTCTGTAAAGGTTTTTGATGTCACGGCTGAGATGATGAAACCTGCGAGACGTGACTGCTGAGGTCTAAAACCACAAGAAAATAAAGGATCATGTTAGTACGCATCCTTGAAATCACTCTACTGCCTTTAAACAAAAAATGCCACGACTTTTGTTTACTCAGCATTTGCAGTTATTGTGTGTCTTGTTTTATTGGAGTTCTGTTGGCCTTGCAACAGATAAGCGCAAACTGACTTCTCATAAAATACATGTGTAAATATTTACCTAGTTTATATTTGTTTACACACTGAGCAACAGAAGGATCCTCTTCCTCCTTTCTGATAACACAGCCTTTCTCTTACCTCCTTTTTCTTTTAAGCTCCTCAGAAATGCATAATCCTGAGAATTCTTGAATGCCATTGTGTTCAGTCATGATTGTTTTCGCATGTGGTGTAAATAAAGATGGAGGTATGAGAAT